CCTCCTGTGCAGCGCCCTTCAGCCTCTACCAGCCCATTACAGCCAATTAGGAGCCTCCAGCTTCTGCTGAAACACAACACACCCTCCACCTTTCCCTCCCTCTCTCCTTTCTTTCTTTCTGTCTCTCTTTCTCTGCTCTAGCTCATTACTGGCATATTGTATAAATTACCAAATGCCACAATAGGTTAATTAAAAATGATTTCCCCAAGGAAGAAACACACACACACACACACACACACACACACACATACACACACACACACACACACACATACAAGCTCTTTCTCTCTATTATACACACACAATCCTGCACGCACACCCTCACACAACCTATCCAATTCAATCCATCTCTTCCGTGTACCAAAGGCATAAATACAATTCTGAAGCGTTTAGCCGCAGAGTGAGTATTAGCCGCAGAGCTACGTTCCACTAAACCGGGAATTTCCAATGTCCGACTAAAGAACACAAAGAAACCCCCTCAACTGGGAATTACTTTACAGGAATGTGTTCTTAACCTAGAGTTTAACATTATATGTCATATTATCAGTAATAATATACCATTTTTCTATTTTTTTTGTTTGTTTTTTGTAATTTGTACTCGCCCCAGTTTAGTTGCTAGCCGCTAGCTAGCACTTCCTCAGTCACACTGTTACGGACTGGTTTTCAACCAGTTCATAATAAACAATTAGAACTGGACAATGAAGCAAAACCGTGTTTTTATTTTCACATTAAGTTTTTTAAAAATGGTTAACAAACCACAAAGATAGCACTACTGAAGTGAGCCAACCACTAGTGGTTAAAGCCACTCCAGCAAAGCCAGCTCTCCAGCTGAAAGCCTTTTAAGCGAGACCAAACACTTACGGCAAAGAAAACAGACGGAACAGAGGGTCTTCACACCGCCTCCCTCAAAAAGTATTAGCGTACCACACACAAATGAAGCAACCTCTGCAAACGTGCAAAAGAAATGTACTGTTCCTACCAAACTAGCAAAGAGATTAGAGTTCTCTATTTGAGTTTCAGATCGGTGAACTTACACACAGTATTAGTTAAATCCATAACACTGACCATACAACTTTGCTGTTTTGGAAAAGTAAATAGATCATAAATGTTGAATATCACTAATATTGGAAGGCTAGCTTGTTGCTAACTACATTTGATTTCTTGAGGTGTCCATGTTCTTTTCACAGCTCGAATGTGTGGAGGTCAAAAATTATGCAATACTGAGTTCTGCTTTCCAACTGACTTTCCAGCGTAGCTGCAGTGTGTGATTATTAGCTGTTGTTTGAGTATTAGCTGTAGTTTGTGAGTATTAGCCGCAGTGAGTATTAGCTGTTGTGTGAGTATTAACCACAGTGTGTGAGTATTAGCTGCAGTTTGTGAGTATTAGCCGCAGTGAGTATTAGCTGTTGTGTGAGTATTAACCACAGTGTGTGAGTATTAGCTGCAGTGTGCGATTATTAGCTGTTGTGTATTAGCTGCAGTTTGTGAGTGTTAGCTGCAGTTTGTGAATTAGCTGCAGTGTGTGAGTATTAGCTGCAGTGAGTGAGTATTAGCTGCAGTGCGTAAGTATTAGCTGCAGTGTGTGAGTATTAGCTGCAGTGTGTGAGTATTAACTGTTGTTTGAGTATTAGCTGCAGTGCGTGAGTATTAGCTGCAGTGAGTGAGTATTAAGTGTTGTTTGGGTATTAGCTGCAGTGTGTGAGTATTAGCAGCAGTGTGTGAGTATTAGCTGCAGTTCATGAGTATTAGCTGCAGTGTGTGAGTATTAGCTGCAGTTGGTATTAGTTGCAGTGAGTGAGTATTAGTTGCAGTGAGTATTAGCTGCAGTGTGAGTATTAGTTGTTGCTTGAGTATTAGCTGCAGTGTGTGAGTATGAGCTAGTGTGTGAGTATTAGCTGCAGTGTGTGAGTATTAGCTGTTTGAATATTAGCTGCAGTGTGTGAGTATTAGCTGTTGCTTGAGTATTAGCTGCAGTGTGTGAGTATTAGCTGTTGCTTGAGTATTAGCTGCAGTGTGTGAGTGTTAGCTGCAGTGTGTATTAGCTGCTGTTTGAGTATTAACTGCAGTATGTGAGTATTAGCTGTTGCTTGAGTATTAGCTGCAGTGTGTGAGTGTTAGCTGCAGTGTGTATTAGCTGCTGTTTGAGTATTAACTGCAGTATGTGAGTATTAGCTGCAGTGAGTGAGTTTTAGCTGTTGTTTGAATATTAGCTGCAATGTGCGAGTATTAGCTGCAGTGCGTGAGTATTAGCTGCTGTTTGAGTATTAGCTGCAGTGTGTGAGTATTAGTTGCAGTGTGTGAGTATTAGCTGTTGTTTGAATATTAGCTGCAGTCTGTGAGTATTAGCTGCAGTGAGCGAGTTTTAGCTGTTGTTTGAGTATTAGCTGCAGTGTGTGAGTATTAGCTGCTGTTTGAGTATTAGCTGCAGTGTGTGAGTATTAGCTGCAGTGTGTGAGTATTAGCTGCTGTTTGAGTATTAGCTGCAGTGTGTGAGTATTAGCTGCAGTGTGTGAGTATTAGTTGCAGTGAGTATTAGCTGCAGTGTGAGTATTAGTTGTTGCTTGAGTATTAGCTGCAGTGAGCGAGTTTTAGCTGTTGTTTGAGTATTAGCTGCAGTGTGTGAGTATTAGCTGCAGTGTGTGAGTATTAGCTGTTGTTTGAATATTAGCTGCAGTCTGTATTAGTTGCAGTGAGTGAGTATTAGCTGTTGTTTGAGTATTAGCTGCAGTGTGTGAATATTAGTTGCAGTGAGTGAGTATTAGCTGCAGTGAGTGAGTATTAGCTGTTGTTTGAGTATTAGCTGCAGTGTGTGAGTATTAGCTGCAGTGTGTGAGTATTAACTGCGGGACTAGTATTAGCCACAGGGTATGAGAATTAGCTGTTATGTGAGTATTGGCCCCAGTTTGGTTTTCAGTGGTAGCAGAGTTAGTATTAATGTGTTCAGGAAATACCATCATCCAGCAACTGCTTGAGGTTTCAAATTCCTGTCATCAATATAAAGATACGTAATTATCAGCTACATTAAAAATACATTAAAAACACATCAGCCCGGAGACGGTGGCGTAATGACAAACTGTTGGTGCATCTGCGGCTCACATAAACCCCAGACTGCTTAATTACAGGTGAGACGGGATTTCCTGTTTACTGTCAGCCTGCGGGGCACTAACACACCCATACACACACACAGACCCGCCTTTACACCATCATATATCTGTATATGAGTCACACAAAGAAATACAGTGTCCACAGTGGAGTCTAAAAGTCTGAGAGCACTAGTGAAAATGCCTTTATTTTGCTAATGCTTTGACTTTTCTAATTTAATACAACATTTTTCATTACAAATTACATCATCAGTATAACATTTAAAGAGTGAAGAGCTGAATCTTTGAAAATCTTAACATGAATTCAGAGAGTTTCTTAGTATTTGGTCGTGCTTAATGACGCTCGAGCTGCTGTGAACTCCATAAAATTGTACAGAAGCCTCTGAAGAGCAGATCAAATCCTCCAGAGAGTCGTCTGAACACAGACTTCAATGGAAGAGAACTATCTGACCTTTTAGTACAAAGGCCTTAACATGGTCAATGTCACGAATCTGATTAAATTTGAATAGAGATCTAGAAATAGAGCAAAATCATAATTTCTTCTCCCATCATTTCTTCTCCTGCTCCAGAGGGTGGTGAAAACTGCCCAACGCATCACAGGTACCCATCACCCACCACTGCCTGGGCAGAGCGAGGAACATCATCAAGGACGTTTCCCATTCTAACCGTGGACTTTTTACCCTCCTCCCATCTGGCATTACAGGAGCCTCTGCTCCCGATCCAGCAGGCTCAGGAAGAGCTTCTTCCCTGAGGCTGTGACCCTGCTGACCTCCACACTGTCACTTTAACTGCATCTTACTATACTGACTACACTGTTATTGTACTTTATGTCCTAGTATTAGTGCACTATTCATACCTGCACGTTTTTACTCTGCATACGTCTCATTTTACATATGCTGCTCTCACAGTACATACTACCTACATAGATAGATAGATAGATAGATAGATAGATCGTTATTTTCATTGTTAAAAACAATGAACAACCATTTAGCAGCTCTAGAATTGACAGCAAAGACATAAACAAAAGAAATCAGGATCATAAGGCCAAAGACATAAATATAAACACAATAAGATAGTATATTCAACATACTAGTGAAAATGAAATGATATATAGCGCACAATGAAAGATATTGCAGTCTTAGTCTAGTCTGAGTCTCAGTCTTAGCCTTAGGGAGGAGCGGGAGGGGAGGAGGGACTTATACATCTGACTGCCTGTGGAAAGAAGCTGTATTTGGCTGCTCTCCACTCACTCTGTATACGTGTATATTATATTTATACTTGCACATGTACTTTTTACCACTCTACTTCTGCACTTTATATGTAAATAAAACCGTATTTTGCACATGTATGCTAACTGCATTTCATTGGCTCTGTACCTGCACTCTGCTCAATGACAATAAAACTGAATCTAATCTAATCTAATCTAATCTAATCTTACTTCTAATAACTTTTCTTTGTTTTAAATTTTTCAAAATTCTGTTTTTTTTTTCCAGGATTAAATATATCTAATAACGATATGTGTCATATGTAACATATCGTCGTTGTCCAAAGAAAAACAAAAAATCTCAATTTTTGCTGATTTTTTTAAAATTTAAATTTCATGATGAATAGAAATGCTCCAAAATGTCTTGGAACAAAACCTCTTCAAACTGACTTTCATTAAAAGTAGAGAATGTTTTTTGTCCCTCTACTGTAAAGCTACCATTTTAGAGCAAATATATATAATATATATCGTCGCTGTCCAAAGAAAAACAAGTGTATGTAAAAAATAATAATATATGCTGCATGTTTCCACTTTGCTTGTGCAGGTTAGTCCTGTTTTTCTCTGGTTTTACTACAAAGTCAGAACTTTTTCTGCAGAATATTTACGCTATGAACACAGACAGACACCATGCTCACCTATGATGTAGTAATCGTGGAGGTTTTTGAACTCGTGGCCCCACAGGTTCGGCGAAAACTCCTGGAACTTGATGGTGAAGCGCATGTCTGCGTTCGGCCGGTCGCAGGTCAGCAACAGGTTAGGAGGGCCGATCACTTCACACCTGTAAGAAAGGCAGTCCTGAAATTCACTCTATTCTGTGTAATATATAGGCCAACAAGAGTGATTATTATGTTTACAATAAAGAGTGAAATTATGTTTCTTCACTTCCTTATCATTTATAAACGGATGAATGGGCGACAGGCAGCTACAGACAGGTGGGCAAGCTTGCTAGCTTTTGGTTATGCTGGGTTAACTTTAGCTTGGTGCTAACTGCATGTCTCAGTCATCACTGCCTCGCCTCAAACTGTGAAGCCTGGTTCTGTAATCTTAATAGACTTGATAATGTGGCTTCTGACACATAAGTAAGTCTATTAAGGTGGACAAAATATGGACTCAAGATAAATGCTTCTTTAGTCCATGTTTATAGGTAACAGGACGTTATACAGTGGCAGAAACCACAGAATCAAGACTATTAGAGATACTGAACATCAGTGTTTGAGGCGAGTCTGTGATGATGCAGACATGCAGTCAGCACCATGCTAATAAGTGTTGTGTAGGGTTCCGTTACTTGCTAGTTATATTAACCATCTTCACTCTCATTTAATCTAATTTTGTGTAATTTATGAAAGTTTTTTCTTCCTTTCATCATCATAAATATGTTATTGTTGGATGAAGTCTTAAAAAAAATGAATATTTGGTTTATATTCTGATAATTTAGTAATTCCTACAAACCTGTCGGCCTGTTCGCGCGTGGACACCAGGTACAGTTTGTAGTACTCGTAATCCGAGGTGGAGCGCGGGCCGGCTGGAGCGGACGCCGGACACACCAGGTCCAACCGGTCACCGATCTGAGGGTAAAGCACGTAGCCCCTCTCATCCCCAAACCTGCACACAAACACAGAGAATTTACATGAATACATTAATTACTGTTATTAATACAGCAGTGGATAAGATGTACACAGCGCCGTCACTCACAGAGCAACTTCATCAGACCTTCAGCTCACTGTGATCAAGATATATAATCAATAAATCTATACTGTAGGAACATCATCATTCAAATGTCTACAATATTGTAAACTACACAATTTTGGGGAATAACAAAAACTTCTTAGATGATAAATAATATACTGTAAAGACCGATTTATCTCTTTGACTTAAAATTTGATCATGACTTTTGAAATAAAAAAAAGGGTTCTGGATATTTTTATTTGTACTTTATTCTGGATATTATTTTTATTTGTACAATTATTAAAATACAACCCGTTATTATAGTAAAAAGGCAATTTCATTATTAATATTAATTACAAAATATTAAATAGTACAATTATTAGAAACAATTTCTTAATAATAATAATAATAATAATAATAAAAATAATGTGTTATTATAATAGAAGTATTTTTATAATTATATTGTTTGCAAAATTATATTTTTATTAGAACATGCTGATATTAATTTGCTTACATCTTTATTATTATTCATTTTTGGTACTGTTTAAGAAATATTAAACCTTTTTATATTTTATGTTTTTTAATATAAAAAAACACTTAAACAAAAGTTCTTACTTTTATTACAACTTCATTCTGTTTTTATTGAAACTTATTTGTGGGTGGTTTTGTGAAACCTGTGAATTTGTGTAGTAGTACCACCATATCAGAGTCACTTTATACACTTATAAAGTGCAATAAGATAGATAAGATTATGTATATATTATATGATATTAAGATTTATATTTATACATTATTGAGGACTTCTTGAAACTTTTGAATGTTAGTATGCTTAAATCAGTACATACGAACAATTTTGCTCAATGTGTACATACTCTCATTCTGTATTTAGTGTATTTTGTACACATACAGCAATAATCAGTGGACATATTCACTACATGCGCTACTTTTATTTTTTATTATATTGCACAGTTTCATACTCTAAACAGTGATAAACTGTGACTTTTACTTCTAGGCCTTTATTTTGGCCCCTATATTCAAAACTTGGTGAAAAACACCTCTATGATAAGTTCCTCCATGGGTTTTCTAATACTATGTTAGCCCAAAACTAAAACTAATGCAATGAGAATCTTCTGTTCTGTCTGTTCTAGATTAAACACAGACATTTGAAGCTTGTAAAAGACATGTTATATGTTTTATGTGGATCTTATAACAGACATTATCATATTATTTCAGTACAGAGTCCTGACATAGAGCTGCCGCCGCTGTTTTACATTCCAAACAACTAACTGGAACAGCCAGTGACACATTTAGGACTTCTAGAAGATGTTTATTTCTCATAAAATGGGCCTAACTGGCTTCAGTCCAGCTCCTGACGCCCTAACCAAGGTGCAAAAAAGGGGATCCTGGGGGGACCTTCTAATTAACCTCTTGGACCCCCTGAATGTCTCAAAATTCTTGGGGTCCTTGAAAACAAACTTATTATAACGTTATGCTTTCATTGTTTAGCTGCTTCACCCACAATCAGCTTCTGTCTCTGGTGTTCTTAACTAACTAGATCAGCACTGCTCTGCCTCAGGGTGGCGCTGTAGCAGACTGGTTCACCCAGTTGGTCCTTCATAGTCTAGAAACTGTAACTCTGCCCGGATTCCTCTGAAAAACTTTACAATGAGCTGCAGCAGATCTGTAAATCTGAAAACTCGCCCAGTTTCCCAAGAGTTTGGAGTGAAGAGTGACTGTTCCTCATTTCTCACACTGAAGACAGAAGAGGAGACGAGGAAGATCTCAGTTCATGTGAGGAAGAGCGCAGAACCACACTAGAACAGAGACTTTACAGAAGAACAACTGACAAAACAACATTTTGTTGCAATTGAAGCTGGTTAGCATCAGCAGCCAGCCAATGCTGGGTTAGCAACCCAAATACCAGGGAGTACTTCACACTGGTTCTAACCAATAGGAGAGCTCACTTCAATAATATCTGTCTGCAGAGCTGCAGAGCCACAGTTTCATGCCAGCAGGTTCAGGCCAGTGGCATTCAGCTCATGCACCAACACTAGTTTTGTTTTTTCTTAGCGAGTTTTGGGCTAATCAACATTTAATGTGTGTTTCCAATAAATTTGTGATGAATTTGCTTTGGGCTAACATTATATTTTGAGTCTTAGGCTAAAGCAAATTTTGGTTTGAACGCATATAGAGATTCACAGGGTAAATATTACACAAACTACAGCTGATGTGGCTGTGGGTAAACTAATGGGTTAAGTTGACTCATATATAAAACTTTACCTTAAACAGGCTTAAACTGGGCACCATATTAAGCTTTAGGCTAAAACAAACTTTAGTTTTTGAACGTATCCCTGCTGAAAAAAATGGATTATATAATGGAGGGATCCACACTCATGTCTGTGTGATGCGTATTGTATGTGTGATGTTTATGTGTAGATATGGTCGTGTGGTTGGTGAAGCACAGAGAAGCTGTTGATGTGATTGTTTTTCCACTGGTTTTATATTAAGCTTATTTCATTTAATAGTCTATTCAGGATCTTAACTTTATGTAGTAGTTATTTATTTACAGTGATGGTTAAAGCTTTGTAGCTGGGTAAGTTACAGCATTCCTTAATCCGTGTAGATATTCATAACAGATTAACGTTAGCATCTTCTTACATGAACCTGATGTTAGCTTCTTATTTGCCAGCTTCTTGTTTAAATTTTCCTGTTCCACCTTAAATGGTGCAGCTTCAGGCACCAGAAAGTGACTGCTGCACCATTTAAGGTGGAACGGGAAAGCTCAAACAAGAAGCTGGTGAATAGGAAGCCAACTTCAGCTTTGACCTTCTTACTGTGTTTGGGGGGTTTATTTTATGTTTATGTGGATTAAGAGTAGAAGTGATTCACTCATTGATGGATTTGCTGATGTGTCTGTGTTTCTTGTGCTAAACTCGGTTTTTAACGTCAGGTGCAGACTGAACACTTTCCTGCTGGTCTGGACGGCTAATTATCACGATCAGTTATTAAAGTAATAAAAGCTACTGAGAACAGATCCGTGCAGCCTGGATTAATCTGTGTCTGAGGATTATAACTAAACAGATTTGGTGAAAATCGCTTGAGTAATAAGGAAGTTGTGGCCAATTTAATTCTGAAACTCTTCGTCTCTCAATACAAGTGAATCTGTTCACAAGCGGATCTCGACCTCTCCAACATGGCGGACGCACAGACGTATCGCCTCAGATAGAGAACAACAGACAACGAGCATCTAGGTATGGATATCTATGTTTGTAATGCTCAACTTTACTATAAGGACTTTGTTTACACGGTACAATCACGCTGTCCTACTGCGCATGTGCTCCACTGGCCTGAAGCCGCCACTGCGGGTGTAAATCTGCGGTTCTGCAGCTCTGCAATCAGACCCTGCTCTGTCGCTTGGCTGCATCTACCTAGAATCCACAAAAGAAAACAATCCTGATTGGATCATTTTGGGCGTGATGACTCTATTAAATAAAAAAGATTACAGACATGTCTCCAGAAGTCATTAGGCCTTCCCTGTTAAGGCCCTTATTCTGGAAGGCCCTGGAGTTTCTCCACTGCCTGAGCGGAAATGATCACTTTTCACTCCGTCTCTCTTAATTACGGCACATTTGAAGACCAACTGATCTCGCTTAGTCCATCTAAACCAATCCTGACTCCAACTCTCCAAAAACGACAGAAAGAGAAAAGAAAAGAGTGAAAATCAGATGGCGAAAAAGAGAGGGCGAGAAAGAGAGAGTAAGGGCGGTTTCCATGGAAACGGCGATTGACAGTCTGATATTTGCGCGTGTGTGTGAGTTTGACAGCCAGCTGGGTTTGATGCCAGGTTTGCCCTTTTATTCCTGCAGCTTTTTTTTTTCTTTTTTCGTTTTTTAACCCACGCACAAACACACACGCCCTTCGGTGCCTGCCGGTGTGTGTGTGCGATGTAAATGAGTGTGTATGTTGCACAGACAGCATGACTGTTATTCAGTGGAATCAGAGTAAATTGCTGCGGCCAAAGCACAAATAATTTGACAAACATTACGGTCGTGTCAAAAGAAAAAAATCAATAATCATTTTCTGCACACAGTCAAGGGGCTGATGAAGTCCTTGAGTCCTCTCTCATTCTGAGTAGAGATGGACAGAGCTGTATTTAGGCATTCTTGGGTATCTCATTTCCTGGGAAAAGAAATCGTACAGTTTATATGACAATCCCTACATTTAGAGTCAGTTATTCATTCAGCCTAATGAGAAACTGTGGAACAGACTCAGTTTATATCACAATACCTACATTTAGAGTCAGTTATTCATTCAGCCTAATGAGAAACTGTAGAACAGACTCAGTTTATATCACAATACCTACATTTAGAGTCAGTTATTCATTCAGCCTAATGAGAAACTGTAGAACAGACTCAGTTTATATCACAATACCTACATTTAGAGTCGGTTATTCATTCAGCCTAATGAGAAACTGTAGAACAGACTCAGTTTATATCACAATACCTACATTTAGAGTCGGTTATTCATTCAGCCTAATGAGAAACTGTAGAACAGACTCAGTTTATATCACAATACCTACATTTAGAGCCGGTTATTCATTCAGCCTAATGAGAAACTGTAGAACAGACTCAGTTTATATCACAATACCTACATTTAGAGTCAGTTATTCATTCAGCCTAATGAGAAACTGTAGCGTTTTGTAAAGCTAGCAACAGTAGCTATAAAAGAATGCCTTTATGGGCGGAGCCTGGATAGGACAATTCTGAAAGTCTGCAATGTTGGAGGAGATGAATGCTGACCAGTGTTGAGGGTCAGTGTTACTGTCACACTTAAAGTGTTTAAATCTCTGCACCTCTTTCTCAGGGATAAAAACTCCAGTGGCATTTAGCAGAGTGACATTTCCAGTAGAGAGAGAGAGTGTGTGTGTGTGTGTGTGT